TGAATAATAATGTTCGTGTGCAAAATGTGTACTATATTGGTAAATGCATATTATTATAGAATAGTAAAATAATATCTTTTATTTCTCTCCATTTAACGACCACTCTTTATAACGCCGAAAAATGTTCAGTCCCTTAAGTGTCGTTATATCGAGTTTACACTGTATTTGAAAACTACTAAGATGTGGAAAATAATTTCCGATCATTATTTAGTACTTGAAAGCTTATTTTTGTATTCTGATAACAAAATTTATAAACCTTTCAGGGTTTTCCGATTCGCATTTGACTAGTTTTGCTATTTGATTGCGAACCTACAAAACCCATGATACAATCTAATTTATACATAACACAGAAGGAGCGAGAAGTGATTAATTGTAATTGTTAGAGCATCTTTGGCAAATACCACACATCTTCCGTCTACCATTTACTTCAAGTAAATGTTTATAGTTTAAAGTTTTGTAGCCGACATTTGGATTGCTCCATTTCCTCCGAGAGAGGATCACAATTATTTTAGTTCGTAAAGTAGCATCATATCCTTGGAACCCTTTTAGAAGGATATCTACGTAGCATGAGCCTGCTTATTCATCTCAGCTCGCAGCAATTTCCGCAAACCACTCGTAACTCATGTATACATAACGTCATTGTATAATAGGTAGTGTTGTACGGTTAATTCGACGAACGACTGTTTGGAACTGGAGCCGATGGTGGTTGGGAGAGTAACTGACGGAGGTTGATTATTAATTTAAGAAAGATGTGTCTGCAACGGGCCATGCCCTTGTCGCGTCGCGACGCTCTCTCGGTCGCTTCGTCCACTGGGAAATGACATACATGCGGAGGTCATCGTTTGATGCTGAGGCTTCCTAATGGTCTCTGCATATAAGCCCAACTCTTCGTTAACAACCTCATTTGCAGCGCGGCACACCAATATGTGTTCGTATAGATGGACGAGCTGTCATTGAAAATTTATACCCACTATGCGCGAGTACACACGCGCTAACGCTGACAACGGTGATTACAATTTAATTTGACACTTTTAGTTAACGTCAAAAATGGAATCCAGTTTGCAGGAGTTACTTATTATACAACACAGAAATAGAAATTTATCTTTGAATATTGAAATTGAACAACCCGAGATAAAAATGTTCAGTCTCTCAGAGTCTCTGAAAATGAGACTCGAGTCTCCGTGTCTCATCGAGTCTCTCTGGTGTCGCTGAGAGAGACTGTCGAAAGACTATCAAAAAAACTGTTTAGCGTCTCTGAACGAGAGACTCGAATTTCTGAACGAGAGACTCGAATCTCTCAATAAGTGGTGTCTTGATAGACATGGTTAAAATTGTCTAAGTTCAACATATTTCAGAGATCCCAGTCTTTCTACAAGAGACTCCAGTCTTTCAATTTTGCAGTTTTATTCATTCAGTTTCTCTGTGACATACTCGAATCTNTGCGATTTTTTAGTCGCGCGATTAAAAAATCGCAACTAGCCTATTTTTCTTAGAGAATGAATCGTAAGGACAGCAATGGACCTGCGCGCATTTGCGACTAAATTGTCACAACTCACTGGTGATTGTCTATTGTTTTGTGCATAAATATCAAACATATCAATATGAGTCCTTTGTTGCAAAGGAAGAAGAAACGTCACCAAGTGTTTTGGATACGAAAAATTTATATCCGAAATTGAAATAGGAAAATTGCTGTTTTACTATAACCTCTGATTTATAATAGGATGCAACCAGTATTGTTTCTTCTGTTTCCTTTTAGTATTATTAACATTTATACGCAATAAAAAAGCCATAATACACATTGTGTCAGTGACGCTCATATTGCAAATGACTTTTATGAGTTAAAGTGTGTTATTTAGTTTAATTTCAACAGTGATCATGTAGTAATCAAAACAATTTTTTTGAGCTGGATAATTCGGAAAAATGTTAAATGAAACTTGGGTTGGTGGAGAAAAAGCGAATAAAAATAGACATATGTAGACGGTTAATGTAATTGATAGTATGATCTGTCGGAGGATAGAATCCGTTATAGAGAGATGTCGGATGACTCCATTCTAATGGTTAAATGTGGAGATTGTGGAAAAATATTTTTTTAGGTTCACATTCCTCTTAACGAAAGGGAGAACATGACCACAGACCACGACAACACTCACTTTGTTCGTCTCGTGCTCCTCCATTTGTTCGCCTCTATCTAAAAACACTCGTATGATGTTCCATAAAGTTACCCTTTTCCCCCCTTAACCTGTTTCCCGTACTGAGATACGCAACAATTACTTTGTTATTACTACTATAGATTATTGTTGTATATAGATGGAAGTAATTAAAAAAATTAACTATATTTATTTACAAGATAGAGTTGGGATTCCTGCCTGAAGTAACTCCATACAAAATTTTATTCATCGTCAGTACATCCAAGACAGCAGGGATGATAACGCCGCGTAAGAAATGAAAAATGTAACGAGCACCGTATTAAACGAATGAAACGTTCAAAATGAAACTTAAATCTATTTAAATCTCGCTACGCCCCTCTTATATTAAAGTTAATTAATATATACTATAGATAATGTCAAATTAATGCGGAAAAAAATTGTTGCTGCTGTTACTCCCTCGCCGAGAATCGAACTCGGGTCCCTAGGTTTACGCACCATTCGCCGTTGATAGTGCTCTCACCTCTCGTAGCTTATTGGTAGAGAAATGGTGTGTAAAGCCAGGGACTCCGGTTCTATGACAGTAGTAACAATTATTCCTCATTACTTTGGGGTAACCTCTAGTGATAGAAATTGATTAAAAATGAATTCACTTCAATATATTGGAAACCCTACAAAAGTCTTTTAAAAACTTTAATACGTTAAAAGCCCTACAAAACTTCTCTCTCTAAACCTAATACTTTTAAACCTGAACTTTACAACGATGTTGAAGAATTTTTAATTCCCTGTTAAAAACATAATTGAGTCATAAATACTGGCTGACCACGACTATAAAAAATCCTGTGTGCTAATTTTATGGTAAAAGTTATTTAATGTGCAACTTCTGCCAATAAAGTACGGTTTTTATTAGCATTATAATACGTCTGTATGGATATGAGCTACTTATCAGAAACATATTTTTTTTTAAAGTATGTGTAGTCGTTTATTGCTGTGCTGAAACGCTTTTTACAGCTTTTTAGTTTTCAGTGGTGGAAAATGATACTTAAAGGTACACTTTAAGTTCAACTAAGTATTAATAAAAGATCCAAATTCTGAATGTAAATACTTGAAACTTTGATATCCGTTTAATGCTAATTCAATTTAACTCCAACATGTTTGTTTTTATATTGAAACACCGGAAGAAGAAGAAACGCTCTTTAAGTATTGTTGCAACTGTTTTTTATTCATTTTGCGATTACTAATTAAAATAATTTCTTTCATTATACATATGTATGTCTTATTAGGCTAATTATTCTGCAAATAATGATTGATTACTTCAAATATAAGGTACTTTCTGAATTTGAATTTTATCTTGTTATTAAAGTGAATTGAGTAATACTTTTTGTTCCTGTTCCCCGACAATCCTCGGAAAAATAATAAAAAAAACTTGTTACTGCTGCCACGCTTCCGCCGGGAATCGAACCCGAAGACCAAAATTTTTACCTTTTGAGAAAAAGGTTATACATTCAACNCGACAGAATACAGGTCACTTCGAATTATTTTATTCGATTATGGTATCGTGCCTATCACGTTGAGATTAGCTACGCCGGGATTCGTTTCAGCAGGTAGATATCCATATATTTAAATGGACCTTGTTGGAGCATACGTAATCATAAAATGTAGCATCGTACTACAGATGGCGTTTACCGCGCCATTTGTGGTATTTTCTAAAACGCGCTTTTTTCTTGCAAAATACATCAGCAACTGCAGAACTCCTTATTTCTTATTGTTCTTAAATATGAGAACTCTTTTTATATGATAAAATACAGGACTATAGAACCGCTAGGGATTATAGGGCTCAGAAGACAACTCAAAAATTATGAATTAGGGGTGATCAACTTCTCAGCTAGCTTAAAGTGGTGTGCTATCATAATTTTGTTTCATTGTCAAGAATTAGAAATTTCATTTCTAAAATTGTTTTACTCAATGTAAATAACGAAATCTCTCGATACCTACTGAAGATGCTGGATATTCTTTAAGTTTCATTAAAGACAATTTACTTGTATACACTGTCTTTTGAATTATTTTTTCAAACAGACGTTGATGCGAATACAGCTACATTTTATCTACGTAAAGCAATTGAATTTTTTACACGTGCAATGTGTCAGAAAGTATTATGAAAATCATGTATATTCATGTAGAAGTGCGACGCTCGCTAAAATATTTATACGTAATTTTCAGCCTTTCTCGGTGAGAAACATTAGCGTAAAGTACGCGCAACTTGTTACGCGGACGTAAATTGCGAAAACCTATTTTCTGGGGAGGAAATATTTTAGGTCAGATTAAAGTAACATTTTTCTTGTACAGTGAGGTGTTCCTATTTACATTTTACGTTCCCATCCACCGGCATGCAAACTTTTTGTTTGTATTTCTATTGCAGTACTAATATTCTTATTTTCATCTTTCTTTTGTTGCAACGTGCGTAACTTATGGAAACGTCGATACCGATTGGGAAAATCTCGTTCAAAATTGAAAATAAAAGAACTAATATAAGACAAAAAGAGATAGTAGGTACTTCAAACCACCAACAATGTTACTTCAGAGCCCCTTGTAGATTAATAATGAGACAAGTAATTAATAAAAAACCTAAAGCGTAGCCCGAGATAAAAATGTTCAGTCTCTCAGAGTCTCTGAAAGAGAGACTGTCGAAAGATTGTCAAAAAACTGTTTAGCGTCTCTGAACGAGAGACTCGACTCGCTCATACAGAGATCCTCATTTCGTATCTAGTCTCTGAACGAGAGAATCGAATCTCTGAATTAACAATTTTATCGTTCGAGTCTCTCATACTGAGACTGTGAGAGATCCATAAAAACACCTAGGCAATAACTGAGAGACTGTGAGAGACGTTCTCAAAGACGCTGAAAGGCTCTGAGAATCGGGAGAGAGAAAATTTTTGTCTAGGGAAATAATTTTTGTAAAATTTATGCACTTCAGGAAACAAGGTTTCTACAATAAAAAAAAAGGAATAAAGGGTCAGAATTAGGTTGAAACAAGATTTATAAAGGACAAAAGAACATAACCTTTAATCAATTAATCCATGAGCATCAATGAAATTTAAATCAGCATCTGAAAAGCTGTAGGACTTAAAAACAATACAAAGCTGCATGATAATCAACTGCGTTTAATATTTATTAATTTTCACAATGAGAGCGCATCTCTTGGAAAATCTCAGTAACGTACACGGCTATTGACAGTTGTCAAACATAATACAGATGCGCACTGCCTCGTTGCGCAGCGAACTCAATCGTGCATTATTTAACCCATCTATCTTATCTACCTTTCTATCTATCTATGTCTCTTAAGTTTTCTTGCTTGTGGTTTTGCTAATGAAGTTGCCGACCGATCGATACGAAAAATAACAACATATATAGTTTTAATTTTTGTAAGACGATTTTCTCATTTCCACGTCTGTGGAAATCACTACAACATTGACGTTATTTTCTATTTTTAATAACCTTATAGACCACACGTAATGGTAATAGTTTTTATTTTGTACCAAGTAATGTACCAAAAGCCGTTTGAAAAATAACAAAATTGAAAACAAAAATTCCAAAAACACTCAAGAAGAAAATGATTTTGATTAAATTGACATTATTTAAATATAAAAGATAAAAATATTAAATGTGAATAAGCCAAAAAATTCCAATTAGTGGGGATTTAAAAACTTGACATTCAGGCAGGCATTTACACGCATATGCTTTTTTGGAGTTTGCATATACATACATATATGGTTAATGGATATGCGTCGGTATTTGTGTGCTTGTTATCAGAAGGGATACATGGAAGTCGCGCTACGCGGTGCGTGACCTACGCCACGTGTCA